AATGGTCTTTTTACTGTTCTAAAAATGTGTATCAAAAACTTAGAAAAAATATATGCCAAGTGTAGTAACAATGAAACAATATTGTCATAAATTGTTTCAAGGTATGGCATGTATTCAAATATTTAAAATTTGTTTCTTTAAACTGTAAAAGAAACAATGTTTCTCCAGGCCAGAGAAACTTTAATACAGGAGCCAAAATTTGTGCTCAGGACAAAAGTAGAAGCACCCACACCAGGCTTGGTGTCAATCAACTCCCGGAACTCCACACCTGTCACCCATCCTTCAAAACTCTCCTAATGGCTCCCAGGAAAATGGTTGATTCTAGGCCCAGGACAGGCAAAATACAAGATAAACCTGAAATGCCAATAATTAATGCAAGAAATAAATGCTTTAAAGAGATCCCAGTGCCACCAAAAAACAAAATAAAAAATAAAGGAAGGCACTTAAAAGGAAACAGGAGCCAGAAGCAATGCATGAGTAAGCAGAATCAGGATAATATTGGGTGCAATCAAAAGAATAAAAATTAATATCCATGATTCCATGTCGACATAACTAAATCACTAAATTAAAATATGAAGAGTCAGCTGGGCTCCAGTGGCTCACAACTGTAATCTGAGCTACTCAGGAGAACCGCGGTTCAAATTCAGCATTGGGCAAATAGTTCCTGAGACCCTATATCGAAAAAACAAGAAAGACCAGTGGGGTGGCTTAAGTGGTAGAGCCTAGAAAGCCTGAGGCCCTGAGTTCAAACTCCAGTGCCACAAAAAAAAAGAAAAAGAAATTACCACAATAACTTTTGACAAGATGTACTAATAAATGCTAAAACTAAGCTAAGCATAGTAGAGTATATCTACACTGGGGAGGCTGAGGCACAGGATCTTGAGTTGGAGGTCAGCCTCAGTACACAGGAAGACCCTATCTCAAAAGAACAAAGAAAACAAAAATAAATGCTAACAGAGAAAAACTCTAAAGATAAAATTAACTCCTTAAATTATTGATAGCTTTAATATTTGTCCACAAATTGAGATTCTCTTCCCTATAGAAGTCTTACTCCTCCCTACCCTAGTGGGAGCAGGACTTAATGGATACCTTCTAATAAATAGTATTGGAAAGGGAAACATCTAACCTGACAGATGTTACCTCAACCATGTGAACAAGGTTAGACTGGACCAATGATAACTATGTACCTCACAATGGAAATCAGGTAAGAAGCATATATCATCTCTATGGTTTTCTTCCCTAAAAGCCATAAACTTAATCATAGGACAAATCCAAATGAGAATAGTGTCAAGATCATGACAGACAATGGAAGGAAACTCACAGATCAAAGACTAAGGAAATAAGAGAACTAAATGCAAGGTAACATGTTGGAATAGATCCTATAATGGAAAAAGGACATGTATGTATTACAACTCTTCTATAAATCTGAAATTATCTCAAAATATTAGGTTTTCTTGAAAAATGCAAGTTATCAGCAAATTTAACAATTCACTTGTTTTTCTTGAGTATCTTTTCTCCATTCCCAAGTTAAAAAACTAGTCAGTTAAACCGGAATGGTGGCACACAGGCCTGTGATCTCAGCACTTGGGAGGCAAGGTGGAAGCAGGACCTCTGAGCTACATACCAAACTCTGTCTCAAAAACCCAAGACTGGTATGTAGCTCAGTGAAGAGTGCTTTTTGACCCCAGCACTGATGGAAACAAAAACTAGTTAGGTTCAGAATTCAGGTGGGACAAAATCTGTTTTTTTCTTATGAAGATGAAAAGACCAGGGCGGGGGTTGTGGCTCAAATGATGGGACTTCTGCCTAACATGCTAGAGGCCCTGAGTTCAATCTCCAATACCATTTAAAAAAAAAAAAAAAAGATGTTACTAGTTTATACTGTCTACCTATGAAATCCCTTAAATAAAAAAAATTTAAAAAATAAAGGTAATTTCCTATCCTTTAGATCAAGTAAGATACAAATGGCCACACTCTAGAAAATTCTATGGGTAAGGTTAGAAAATCCATTCTAAGCTTGCATAAACAAATGATGGGAGAAGATTAGAAGGGCAGGCAGGTGCCACATTCAAGTCTTCCAGATTCTGGATCCTTCTTAAGTATTTCTAATAAGGAAATAGCTAGTTGTGGTACTCTAATCAGTATTACAAGTTTTTACAAAATACTTTATAGACAACTGTTTGGGCTTCACAGGTTCAGCATTCTTTTTAGTAAAAATGCAAGAATACCCAAGATTTGTGAAAGCATTTTAAAATATGCAAAGTGGCTGGGATTATGGCTCAGTAGTAGAGCATGTGCTTAGGCCCTGGGTTCAATTCCTAGCACCAAAAGAAAAAAAAAAAGTCTAAAAAAAATACACACACACACACATATATAAAATTAAAGACTTCATCTACTAGGCCATAGCCTATGAAAGGGATTTATATTGGTCTCTGCTTTGTAATATAAACTCTTCATTCATAGCTCTCAAACCCTATGAACTGGCTTGGAATTCAGTCTTCAAGTAAGGCTGGACAAGGTATCCAAACATCTTTTTTTTTTTTAAAACAGGGCTGAGGGCATGGCTCAAGTGGCAGAGTGGTTTTAAGCCCCTGGTCCTGAATTCAATCCCCAGTACTGCAAAAATAAATAAATAAAATTCTTAAAAAGCTGGGCTGCAGGAATGACTCAAGCAATAGGTTCCAAGTTCAAACCTCAGAACTGCCAATAAATAATAGAAAACAACATTTCTGAGATATGAAAATAACCTAGTTTGGTGCCAGTGTGATGGCAAACTGTAAGTGGGATTACAGCTGCTGAATTTAAATTAAAATCCAGAGCACTGAACAGCAGTATAGGTTTTTCCTACTAACTTTACAAACTAATGGGAGAAGGGCCTTTTTTTGACAATTGTCCTGTTTTCCAGGCAGTGGAAAAGCACAATCTAATTGAATAAAGAGCATACATAAAATGCCCATTTGAATTCTGTGACCAAGTAGTCATTTTTATTAAGTTGGTTTTAGTCTCAAACTCATGCTTTACATTAAATTTCGTCCCTTTAAATGTTGGCCTCATTCATTCTAAGAACCATATACAATTATAAACCTATAAAACTAACCTGTGCCCTTTACTTTCTATGAAAAGTACCAAAAATTGCACAAAAATTCATAATGTAAATAACAACAAAAAGCCCTACTTTAAAGTAGGTCAAGAACACACCTTAGGAAAATCTCCTTATATTCCTGTTGTGGGCTGTCAACTGAGAACAGCAAATGGTGGGAGTTAAAGGACAAAAGACTGCCTACTTTTCTACCTGTTCGAAGCTAAGGTTGAAAGCACTGGGCTCCAGCAAAAAGTAATCTAGGACTTGGCTAGAAAGTAGGGAAGGCTGAGACTTCTATTACCCCCCAAGTTAAGTGCTTCAATTCACTTGTTTCTGACAAATGAACACACAAGTGACCAGAAACCAATTTATGAGATATTCACATTAATATTCCTGCCTTACTGATAACATCTGCCTAAAGCCAAAAACACCAAAGTACTTTTAAGTGTTTGAAGGTGAAATTAACAAAAATTTCCCCCAATTAAAGGGCAATTTCATTCTAATATATTTTACCTCAAGCAGTAATAAAACTAGCTGGACTCAACAATTTAAGTGTAGGTCATTATAATGTTTTAACAGTTGATAAATTACTCATCTTAAGTGAAAACACTAGCCAGCAATCTATCTCTAAATGCAGGTTAACTGGAACACAAGGCAAGTTCCAAGAACAATAGGTTATATCCTAAAGCAATCTATTGTTTATGGTAACATCAACAAAGGTAAGAACTTGTCCTTATGATATTTTGATCCTTTATCTATTTCTACTTCTATTGCTACATTCTGGTAATAAACAAGGGGAAAGTACTTGGTAAAAAGAAACAAACTTCCTCAGTTTTTAATTTTTTATAAAAGTGTACACTGCATTCACTGACTACAAAAAACAGATTGATCCTGAAATGAACAAAACCAGGCCAGAGTCTATGGTACATGTCTGTAATCCCAGCCTGGGCTACATAGAGGGGACTGTCTCAAAAAACCAAAACCAGGGATGAAAACATTCTTTAAACAATTCAGAAGACCTAGTTCCAAAATATTTCTTGTAGTCTTATGTCAAGCAGAAACACGTATGATGTAATGATTTGAATCTACAAACACCACTTATTTTATAAAGCTAAGAAGTGTATTGGGTTTTAAAATTTACAATATGTGAATACACTAGAGAATTCAAAATCTTGAAGGTAAGGAAGACATCTTTGTATATACACATAAGTCTAACAGTGTAGATGCTAAAAAAAAAATTAAGTGAATACGGGCAGACTTCTCCACTGAAGAGCTACTGCTATTCAATGTGCTTTCCAGCAAATCTCAACCAATAAAGCTTGATCAAATCTAATACAGGAACTGGGCGCCATCCTTTCTATTCCCATTTCAAATTTTAACCCAGACTCTGAAATATGAAACATCAGTCTGTACTTCGTTTTCTTTTACTATAATTAATCTTCTCAAAGGTCTTTCTCCAAAAGTCTGTCCCGATTTAAAAAAGAAAAAAAAAAAAAAGGAGGCGGGGTGGGGGGGAATTCGAATTCTTCTTTCAGCCTAACTTCCTGCTGGCGGGAATTCACCATCATCACGCTGAGTTCCAAACCTGCTACTTCATTTGCACTCGCTCATTTTCTTCTCTACTTTTTCCAGAAGCTGGTTTGGAAGCACATCTATCAACTCTGTGGAAATTCGGGTAGGAAGGAAGCCCAAGCCCTTTCCCTTTGTCATAATCCCACCTCCAAGCCTGTGTCCCTGGAAGTCCTTACCAGCCTCTGCACAAATGCCGCCGCCGTCTTGTCGGCGGTGGCCTTTCGGGCTAGCGCTGCCCCCCAGGGACAAGTACTCGGGGGGCAAAGGAGCTCTGATCCAAACAACCTGCCTCTACCGTCTGTCTGTGCGCCTTAGTCCGCCGGGAGCAGAGAATGATCGTACCTACCTCATCGGGTCGTTGTGCGACCTAAGTGAAGCCGCCAAGTAGCTCAGCACAGCGGCTGGCACGCAACGATGGCTTAGGAAGAATGTTAGCTGTTACTGTCACCAATTCTCCATGCACACGCTGCTCCCTCCTTGCTTACTCCCTGCACTTCTGGTTGGTGGGCTTTAAAGACTCCTCGCACTTCGATGCAGCCCCCATCCCAGATAAAAGCCTCCTCCAGGTCGGGACCAAGGTGCAGCTCCAGGGCCGGGGGAGATAGGAAAGACAGCCCGGCGCGTGACGTAGAGGGCGGGCGGGAAACACTGGCCAGCAGGCTGCGCGAGGCCCCCAGGTCCCCGAGATCGCTTTGGGGCCCGGGCGGCGGCCAAGGCTCGCTCCCGCCCCGCGTGGCCGTTGGACGCGGCTCGCGCACGCGGCGGGCACGGCCACGCGCTCCGGGCGGCGGGGTGGGGGAGGCGCCGCGCGCCCGCCGCGCGCGCCGGCGGCCGTTGGGGTGGGGGTTGGGGGGACTCGGCTCGCGTGGTTTTCCTCGGACTTCTGTTCTCAGCTTCTCCCCAGCTAGGCCTAGTTCTGGGGCTGCCCTGCCCCGCCCACACCCCGGCGTACCTGCGCGGCTGACCGGGAGAGGAACAAGCTTTGCTCCACAGCACAGAGGGCAGCAAGAATCCCTCACGCAACTGCGTCCGCACACACGCGTGCTCCGCCGCCGGTCTATATAGCCGCACCTCAGCCTAACTTGCTGCGACCAGGTCGAGCAAGCAAATGACCAATCCCGACTACGTCCTTTGAGCTCTTCGAACAGCAATTGGGTACTAACTCAGGATAAAGGCGTGGCTCTTGATTGGCTTCGACTCATGCCTATGAGACTGTGAGAATCTCGCTTCCTAGTAGCGGATTGGCACTAAGAAAAACCAATAACTGGAAGGGACACTGGAAAGAAGGGTGGGAACTTTTTTGACCGATACTCATGGTAGCCAATAACTGTGAGACGTTGCTCTCATTGGTTAAATTCTCTTCTCCCGGGCGGAGATTCGTTTTCCAGGCAGGAGCGGTTGCTCCACAAGGTGGGGCCCGTGTACTTTGGGGAAGTAAACCCCAAGCAACTTGGAGGTGGGCGTCGTGAAGGCCAAGAAAGCGTCTGGCCAATCGCAACGTCGGAAGGAGCTGATTGACACGGGGGGTTGGACTGCTCCAAAGACACAGCCTCAGGGCCGCCGTGCCCTCTGGGGTGTTTTGGAAGCTGTCTTGGCTGCGGTTTCTGTCCGGTTGCCTTTCTTTCCTTCGTTAATCCGGGTCCCAGAGGCCCCTTCTCCACTTTCTCCGCTCAGTTTGGTACCCGGGAAGCAGTTGGCAAAGTTTCCCGGGTTTTTTTTTCCTTTTTATTACAACTTTTTATTTCCACTCGCTGCCTAAGAGCACTTGCTGGATCTTACCATTAGTCAGCACTAATGTTGGGCGACTGTTAAAGGAAAGCCAAGGAAGAAAGTAGCTCGAGCTGTGTGCGCAAAGTCCTTAGAAAGGTCACACGGGGGAACTCCTGTCGCATTTGCAAACACGCATCGGCGTCCTGGCGGTGCTGCTGCAGGTTGGCCCGATGGCTGGCTTCTTGGATGTTTTCGTGAATTCCCCTTTTCCTGGTTACTGAGGAACAGTACATCCTCCGGCCAAGTTTGGGCTCCGTGCAACATCCTGTGCGTCACCACCATTGTCGCTCCTTTTTCTAATCGCTGTGGGTGTGGGGGCTTCGTGTCGTTACGCCTTGAAAAGGTAACTTAGCCAAGTCCCCAAGATTTCCTTCGAAATGCTTTAGGGGGCAACTGGCACCCCAGCCTGCTTCTGTCCAGGACTCAGTGTTTCGTGGGCCCTCTGTTGGACACTACGAGCATTTTATATGGAAACAGGAAGAGACACGCCCCAGTCTTTTCTCATTGCAGGCGAGTGGCCCTGCGGGAGAGTAGCCTGTTAAATTTCGTTGCGGTTTTTGGAAAAGAAGCACGTGGAGCGTTCCTGCTGTGAAACACTGAGGACGAACTGGAAGAAGGGGGCGCCGGAAGCAGCCTGATGCGACCCGGGCAGCGCGTCCCTGCCGGGCCTGGCCAGGGGCTGGACCTCCCGCGGGGAGCCCAGGAGCCGTGTGAAAAGGCCCCGCTGACCCACCAAGTCCCCATTCCCGCCTCAGCCCCGCACACTTGGCCTTGACTGAGCCCCAAGGGCGGGAATCGGGGACGATCAAGGCGCTGTACCTGCTGTCACCCCCCTCAGTAGACAGGGGCGCTGAAAGAGCCAGGAGCTCCCACCTTGGGAAGACCTGGCATGCTCGAGATGCGAAGCTGCGGAAAGTGTCCCGGAGTCGAGGAGCCTCCAAAGACCAGTCAGCCGTGCGAAAGAACTTGGACTTGAATCTGAAGGCGGTGGGGGTGCCCCTGGGAAATTTTTTTTTTAATTTTATTTTATTGTAAGGATGGGCCAAGAGATTTGCAATTTGTTTTGGCAGAAAGATGGAAAACTTTATTCAGAGAACTTTAATAGTCAAATTTCCAGCATACAGACTGCATGCTTACCCTCCCTTAAACCTATGGCTGTACTTCGCTGCTTCTGGCATCTTGAGAGACTTCGGAGTGATAGAATCAGGGCCACGTTTGCCTGCGCTTTTTGTCTGAGCCAGTTTCTGGAGATCAGCTTTCAGATCAGACCCTTGAACCTCAGGTGCTCCCTAGCCACCTCTCTGTTGACCATGTGTCATATCCTGACTTTCAATTGGTGGAGCTTCTGGTTGAACTTGCTTGTCACTGGGCTTCTGGGCAACCAAAGACTCACCCGGACAGGAAGAACTTGGTTTTACTTCTCCACTCATTTTTCCCATAGCTGAGTCTGGGTTGACAGAAAGACAGAAGAACTACCCATCCTGGCACATCTCCCCTCAGCACTGCGTCTGAACGGTGCAGACTTGCATTTTCCAAGATGACTCTCCAAACTGTAACACTATTGACAGCAGAATGGCAAAAATTTTAATTTAGAGATTGGTCATTTTAACCCAGGTGGCCTGTGATGGGGGACAGGACTACTCTTAATCACATTTGGAGTGAATTTTAACGGATAACAGCTCATTTTGCAAGGCAAATTGGCAATGTCTATTAAAATTGTGAATATCTCCCAAAGCAATAATACTTCTTGGTTGACAGCCATATTTGGTTACAAAGGCATGTACTTCATGCTCATCACTTGACAAACTTTGGGGCTGGGGATGTAACTCAGCCATAAAGTATGTTTACCTGTCATGGGCAAAGCCCTGAGTTCAATCCCCAGCACTGTAAAAAAAAAAAAAAAAGATATTTGTGAATATATATATATATATATATATATACATATATGTATGTATGACACATATATATATGACATACAATATGCACACAAACTTTTTAATGGTAATAGACATGCAATGCAGCAGTTTTAAGAGTGAGGTAGAACTATAGTTAGAACTCTCTTGGTCAGTTGACTGTTGCTTTTGGGCCTGTGTTGAGGCAGAACATAATAGCAGGGAGCACATGGTAGAACAAAATGAGACGAGGACGAGCAGGGTCCCAATATACCCTACAAAAGCATGCCTCTAAGTACACCCTACTTCCTAAAGGTTCCACAACCTCATAATATAGCACCATCAAATGGGAACCAAGCCTTCTACATACGAGGTTTTGGGGACATTTAGGATCTATAGAATAACAGAGGGTCATTAAAAATTTGTATTTTTAGGGTCCAGCATGGTGGCTTGCTCCTGTAATCCCAACTACTTGGAAGACAGAAGGTAGAGATTGAGAGGGTTTCTATTCAAGTTCAGCTCAAGCAAAAGGTTAGCAAGAACTGTCCTCCCCATCTCAACAATAAAGCTGGATATGAGAGCTGGGGCTGTGGCTCAAGTGATAGAGTTCTTGTCTAGCAAGGACAAGGCCCTGAGTTCAAATGTTGCTACCACCAAAAAAGAAAAATGCTGGGCATGGTGGTACATGTCTACAATCCCAGTAATGTGGGAATTGTAAGGAGGTCCAAACCCTCCCTCGGTAAAAAAATGCAAGACCTTACCTGAAAAATAAAGCAAAAAGGGCTAGGGTAGCAGTAAAGGAAATGCAGATTAAAACCACACTAAGATTCCACCTCACCCCTGTTAGAATAGCCATCATTAGCAACACCACTAACAACAGGTGTTGGCGAGGATTCCGGGGAAAAGGAACCCTCTTACACCACTGATGGGAATGTAAACTAGTACAACCACTCTGGAAAAAAATTTGGAGGCTTCTTAAAAATCTAAACATAGATCTACCATATGATCCAGCAATACCACTCTTAGGGATGCAGCACTATTCAGAATAGCCAAGTTATGGAAACAGCCAAGATACCCCACTACTGATGAATGGATTAAGAAAACTTGGTATTTATACACAATGGAATTTTATGCAGCCATGAAGAAGAACGAAATGTATTCATTCGCAAGTAAATGGATGGAACTGGAGAACATGACTCTGAGTGAGGTTAGCCTGGCCCAAAAGACCAAAAATCGTATGTTCTCCCTCATATGCGGCCAATTAGATCAAGGGCAAACACAACAAGGGGATTGGACTTTGATCACATGATAAAGCGAGAGCACACAAGGGAGGTATGAGGATAGGTAAGACACCCAAAAAACTAGATATCCTTTGTTGCCCTCAATGCAGAGAAACTAATGCAGAGAGTTTAAAGTGACAGAGGCCAATAGGAGAAGGGAACCAGGAACTAGAGAAAAGGTTAGTTCGAGAAGAATTAACTTAGAAGGTAACACACATGTACAGGAAACCAATGTGAGTCAACTCCCTGTATAGCTATCCTTATCTCAACTAGCAAAAACCCTTGGTCCTTCCTATTATTGCTTATACTTGCTCTTCAACAAAACTAGAGATAAGGGCAAAATAGTTTGTCTGGTAGTGAGGGGTTGAGGGGGTAAGGAGGGGGTAAAGAAGGGGGTGGGGGGGAAGGGGGGAGAAATGACCCAAACATTGTATGCATATATGAATAAAATAAAATAAAGAAAAAAGAAAACATTGTGTAAAAAAAAAGGGCTAGGGGTGTGACTGAAGTGGTAGAGCACCTGCTGACAAGTGTGAGACCCTGAGTTTAAACCCCAGTACCAATAAAAAACAAAAACAAAATCTGTATTTTTTTAAAAAGAGAGAAATATGTATGTCTCTTTAGCTATTAAACCTTGCTGTTATAGTTGTGTGTGCCCTTTTTTTCTGTATGTTTTTGCTATACATGTGCAGGTTATGCCCAGAAGGGGTCAGAAGAAAGGATTAATGATTGCCAATAAGGAGGTGACCTTCAGCCAGGATGGAAGAAGGGCTTAGCTTTCACTTTGTGCTCTTTGCTACTGTAGGATTTATTTTTAATAATCCTGTGTTATTTTTCAAAAACATTAATGTTAATTATAAATTTTAAGAGTGACATGAGGAACTAAAATATAGAAATTTGGGGGAATATATAGCTCAGCATGTGCAAAGCCCTGGGTTCAATCTCCAGCACTGCAAAAAAGAAGAAGGAGAAGAAAAGA